ACGAGTTAGAACTGATCTGGAGGCACATGATTATCAGGAGTAGGAACTCTCTGCTTGCTGTGTATGTGTTTTCGGTCTCACTGCTTTTACACGGAGGCGCTTGGCACAAATCACAGACATCTTGGCAAAGGGGGGAAGCTTCCCCTTGAGATTTGTGGCTGAGTCAGCCGGACAGCTGAAAGTGACGAGAAGAAAGGTCCTGGCAACTATGCTTTGCATTCCTGACTCCAGAAGCGCCGTCCACTCTGGTTTTTCTTCTTCCTCAAGTCGTGATGCAATATGGGGATGGGTGCAGGATGTCGAAATGCAGTGAAAGGAAATTTTAACTGGTTGTTGTAGGTTTCTCGGGCTGTTTGGCGTCGAAATGCAGTGAAAGGAAATTCTAACTGGTTGTTGTAGGTTTTTCGGGCTGTTTGGCCGTGTTCGAGAGGTTTTCTTCCTAACGTTTCACCAGTCTCTGTGGCCGGCATCTTCAGAGGACAGGCATCAGAACTTCATCTGTGTTCTGGTGTCGTGTGTGGGATAGTTGAGTATTTGTAGCTGTGGGATCAGCTTTTTGTCCTTTTCAGGAGATTGGGTGATTCTGGCAATCAGGGTGATTTTTGTTATGGGTGTATTGTAGTGATAAGGGGGGAAGATGATCTGTCCGTGTGGTTGATGGGTGTTGTTAGCTGGTCTTGTGTGTGCAGTGATCACCGGTCCTTGTGGCTGGGGAGAGTTCGTTGACCTTTTTGCAGGCTGTATTTTTCAGTGCTAGGAGCCACACTTTGTTGAGTTTTAGACTTTCTTTTTGTTGAAACTTTGCTGGTGTTTGTGGATTTCAGTGGCTTCCCTGTGTAGTCTAACATAATGATTGCTGGTGTTGTCCAGTACTTCTGTGTTTTGAAATAGTCCAGCTTGTTTCAGGGCATGTTCAGCTACTGCCGATTTTTCCAGTTGTTTTAGTTTGCAGTGTCTTTCTTTGGGAATACATTAAAATGCTGTTAGGTCTGTGTGGGCTGTGCTAGGTGGCCATGCCATCCTACAAAGTGAACATCAGTCAGGTGGCAGGCAACCGTCCCTGGACCATCTGTCAGAGATCGACCCCTCACTCCGTGCTTAACCCTGCCTGGTGACAATTCACAGTTGAAGAACGAGCCAATTTGCAAACGACAGGAAGTGTGGAAAACCGGTGCAGTGACACTTGGAACTCTTTCAGCACCAAAAAGATTCCTCTGTCCAGTTTGATCATCCTCCGTAGGTTATCTGGATCTCCATTTCCAAGGGTGCGTGAAAGAAGAACTGCTGGATAGCTGAGGAGCTTCAGTATCTGGCCGTGGAGCCAGAGAGGGGGAGTTCGATTCTTCACTGGGCATTCCTTGAGGATGACAAGGGTTATAAGGACGGCCTCTGAAATTTAGCAGTGTCACAGATTAACGACAACATTGCACAATCCTTTCCGCTGATGAGGTTAACTGCTGGAGACAGTTTTTTCATGCAGTGGTTTAAAGGATAGTTGTGGGGGGAGGGCAGCCAGCGAGAGGGTGCAAAACTGTAGTTGATTGTCCCAGTAGCAAGAGATACGCCTCTCTCTCTCTCTCTCTCTCTCTCTCTCTCGTAAATGGTGGCACCATCTGTCCTGGTGGAGTTATGCCTAGCTGTTTCCCCCCACCCCACCCCGTTTTTAAGCAGCTGCTGAAAACGCATTTCTTTCAAGAGGCAGCCAAAGTGACTTGCCCCCTCTATGGCCGCGATTCTCTTTTGCAGTTCCATCCGTTTATAATGTTGGTTAACTTTTTCTGTCGTCATTGGGCAGTTTTCTTGTGTTGCTTTGAGTCGCTTTGCAGTTTTATATGTACACGGCCCAGAATAGTGCTGTGCGCTAATGGGGCAGTAGATAAATGACATAAATAGATAGCTGCTGCTTAGAATCATAGAATCGTGGTGTTGGGAGGGGGCCTCCAAGGCCATAGAGTCCAACCCCCCCCTTCAAGGCAGGAATCCCAAGTCAAAGAAGATCTGACAGAGGGTTGTCCAGTTTTCTCTTGAAGGCCTCCAGCGTTGGAGCGCTCACCTCCAATCATGGTCGTTGGGTTCCACTGACGTCCTGCTCTCTAACAGTTAGGAAGTTTTTCCTGATATTCAACCGAAATCTGGCTTCCTTTAACTTAAGCCTATGGTTGCGTGTCCTGCACTCTGGGGTGATCGAGAACAGATCCTGCCCCCCTCCTCTGTCTTTCAAATATTTGAAAAGTGTTATCATATCACGCCTCAGCCTTCATTTCTCAAGGCTAAACATGCCCAATTCTTTCAGTCTTTCCTCAAAGGGCTTGGTTTCCAGCCCTACAGGGACCAGGAATAAAATGATATCAGACTGTTCTAACTGTATAGTGCAGATAAAATCCTCTTTACATTCAGGTTAATCCAGAGTTTGATGAGAGGGCAGGGGTGAAGAGCCATTCTTGTCTTGAGGTTCGCATTTAATTCCTCTAAAGTTGGGAGGTCAGTAGACAAGGACTGAATTTTCTCCTCTCCACCCCATAGAGGCTGGACGGCAACTTCATGCTGTATTCTAAGTCTGTTCCGTTTCTGTCTCATAAGTCATGACTGTTTCCAAAATCCGTCCTTCTGCTTGAGTCTTAGCTTAGTTCTGTTCTGCACTTTTGTACCTTGTTTTAAACTTCAGCAGCAACTCTTAAAGCCTACGTGTGAACGGTTGGCTCTCTCAGAGGGTTTTTTTTTTTAATGGGTTATCCGACCCAGATTTCCCATCCTAATCCAAGAAATGGAAGCCGTTTGCTCCAGGAAAGCTGTAGAACGTCAGAGTTTGCAATGTGATTGAAAGAAGAGAGGGAAAAAATGTTTGCCAATATGCATGCATTTGAAAAACGCACAATAAATAGTGTATACAATTCTAAAATCCACACAGACATGGTTTAGTGAGCGGGACATGTGTCCGGTTGAAATAGGTGCACAGAAACAAACAGGGTTACTCCTGGTTTTTCTTCCTCTTTTCTAATAATAAAAATGCCCATATGGAACTGATACACGGACAAGGCAAAAGGAGGAAAACTGTTCGTCCTGTCCTAACTTCTTGTCTGGACATGTTTAGAGGCTCTTCATGCGGTCACCCAGCATAACTGAAGCCATTCTTCATCTGTCATGCAGATCTCCGTGTTGTTGTGTTTGACGCTCTTAGCCATGGCATGTAGAACTCCCATTTTTCTGGGTAGGGCACAGACCTTGGACGGATCACAAATAGTTTATGTTTCTGTGGGTCCTGAAAAATCTTGTCCTGTGAGATGGAACAGCAACCAACAACTTTTTGAAACACTCTTTTTGTACAGGGTGTGTGTGAAATCTTTCTCTCTTTCTGTGGTCGTTTCCCTTGTTTTTCACGAGTTCCCCACCATTCCTTCTTGCCTTGCTGGGGGGAATCAGCTGCTGTTCCTTGCGCCCTGGATGACCAACTTGGCTGCTTACAAGCTGGCGGTCATCAGCTTACGTTCAGGTAGAACACGGCAGGTGGGATGAGAGCAGAACATCCTGCCTTTTTCCTGGGCTCCGTCAAGTTTTAAGGCTTTGTTGTTGTTTAGTCGTTAAGTCTTGTCCGACTCTTGGTGACCCCATGGACCAGAGCACGCCAGGCCCTCCTGTCTTCCACTACCTCCCGGAGTTTGGTCAAATTCATGTTGGTCGCTTCGATGGCACTGTCCATCCATCTCATCCTCTGTCATCCCCTTCTCCTCTTGCCTTCACACTTTCCCAACATCAGCGTCTTTTCCAGGGAGTCTTCTCTTCCTGTGAGATGGCCAAAGTATTGGAGCCTCAGCTTCAGGATCTGTCCTTCCAGTGAGCACTCAGGGTTGATTTCCTTCAGAATGGATAGGTTTGTTCTCCTTGCAGTCCAGGAGACTCTCCTCCAGCACCACAGTTCAAAAGCATCAATACTTCGGTGGACAGCCTTCTTTATGGTCCAGCTCTCACTTCCATACATCGCTTCTGGAAAAACCTTAGCTTTGACTATTTGGACATTTGTTAGCAAGGTGAGGTCTCTGCTTTTTAAGATGCTGTCTAGGTTTGTCATGGCTTTTCTCCCAAGAAGCAGGCATCTTTTAATTTCGCAGCTGCTGTCACCATCTGCAGTGATCATGGAGCCCAAGAAAGGAAAATCTGTCACTGCCTCTGTATCTTCCGCTTTTAAGGCTTAACTCTCCCCAACACGGTGCCTCCCTGCCATCTTGAAATAGCAGTTGCTGTCAACTCCAGTCAGCTTGGGCAAAGTTTGGGGATGGCGGGCATTGTGGTCCAAAACATCTGGAGTTTGTCACACTAGTAGCGGTGGCAAAGCATTTTTTAATGTTCCCCTGAGGCAATTCCTCCGTTCAGTGCTTCGTATCAAGTCAAGTTAAAATACACGAGTGTTAGCCTTTGGCCTGTCTTGCACCCATTTATACGTTCTATTTTAAAGCCTGATACGAATCTCTTGCTCCTTGGGAGCACTGGGATATATACAGAGTTTAATTATTATCTTTAAGGTAGGGAGTTTTCCTTCCAGGGGAGGCTTGCGGTGAGATAAGGGTTAAGAAGAAGCAGAGATGAATGTGTACAGATGAGCTGTAATGCCATTTCTGTGTTTCCCAGCATCGTTTCTACACACATTCAAGCCTTTCTCAGTAAACTTTTTGGTGCTTTTCAAAACTGTTTTCTTGAAAATTTGGGCTTAATTCCTGGTTCCTAAGATGCCACTTAGAGGCTTCATAAATAAATTTTATATTGGTCTTCCGGTTTAAATACAGACAGTGCTTTGTATTGACAAACAGCCATCTAAAATTGTACCCAAGTTTTATTTGCGTTAAAAAAAAACTTTTAGTAACCCTTCTTTGCTCATCTTTCAGCCTGGAGTTTTTGGATGTCTATGCAAGTGCTTATTCTCAAAATCAGTGTTTTGCTGTTTCCTTTGTTTTATTTTTTACAAATATTGGGGCGTTGCTCTTGACTCTTCACTCCTGTTCCCACAGAAAACTATCGGAGAAGGCAGGGATTGACGAAGTTATGGCCGCTGCCGTCCTCACCAGCCTCTCAACCAGCCCGGTTGTGCTTAACAACCCTAACAACAGTTTTGGCACAGGTAGGGCCTGGGGGGGGTGGCAGGGAGAGATAAGTGAACCTGGGATCAAGAAGGTCTTCTTTCCGGTGTACGTGCCCATTAACAGCTTTGATAAGTTACTGTTGGGTGGTTTACATCCAATACCAACCAAGTAACGTAGAATAAAATTAGTCTTAAATAAAATACTAACTACTGACTCACACACACAGAAGTATCTACAGATAAAAGCAGGGGACATCCAATAGACTAAATTAAATTAAGGGAAATGGCAAACAGAGAACAAACAAACAAAAAGAATAACAATCAGCAGAGCTAAAGGCAGTGTCTGAAGAACATAAAGGCCCCGGGGAAGATTAAAACAAACAACTGGATAGGAGAGAGAACTATTGGCGACAAGCGTTTTGTGACTTGGATGCTGATGGCACAGTGTTTAAACTGCAATACAGTGGTGCCTTGCATTACGATGTTAATTCGTTCCAGCGAAATCGCTGTAGAACATAATATCGTAAAGCGAAATTTAAAAGCCCATAGAAACCTGTTTAATGCGTTCCGATGGGCTTAAAACTCCCCGTCCAATGAAGATCCTCCATAGGGCAGCCATTTTCGCTGCCTGTCTTGCGAAGAATCCTTCTCTAAACACAGCGGGGAGCCATTTTATTTACCCAGCGGCCATTTTGAAACCGCCGATCAGCTGTTGGAAAATCATCGTTTTGCGAAGAATCAGTTCCTGAAGCAGGGAAACCGATCATCGCAAAGCGAAATTCCCCCATAGGAAATATCGTTTTGTGATCACAAAAGTGACCGCAAAAAGTTCATTGTAATGCGATTTCATCGTTAAACAAAGCGATCGTAATGCGAAGCACCACTGTACTGCAGTGAAGACTGCACACAACTGGAATTCAAGCCCCGTGGGTTCAGGTTGACTCCCAGCACCTTCTGAGTTTGGTAAATTTGAGCACCCAGCTTGCTGAGGGGCAGGAGCAGTGTGTTCCCTGCATAATTAATTTGTCAACCACCCAGACAGTTTTTAAGCTGGGGGGGTTCGTATATAAGCAGCACACTTTGTTTTTATGAACTGGGAAGAACCATAAAAGGGGACGTCGAGCCCCTTGAGTGGAGCTCAGCAATCCTCCAATATGCTACCGGTATAACGTTGCCCGTGCTGACATTTAAAGGTGGTTTCACGACCAGAGGTTGCACTGCACTAACCCTACGATGCCATCGCTCTGGGTTGTTCTCACGTTGATCCTCTGATGGTGTTCCGGTGCTTGTCGTTAAGGGTGTGTTCCTTGTGGGTCAGCCTTTGTGAGCCTTCGGGTGCTCTTCTCCCTCGCCAGAAAGCCGCTGTGACCCATGGAAAGAAAGCCGCCCCATGTCCTCCAGCTGCAGCAGCAGCAGCAACGCCAGCGCCGACTGGAGCTGGGACGCTCCGAGCGACCTCTCCACCCCTTCGACCCCCTCGCCCCCGCTTTCCACCGATGTCGCCCCCGGCTTCCTTTCCGCTCTGCATTCGGACCTCGAAGAGGCCGAGGCAACGGCCTTCCTGTTTGGTGACCCCATTCCCCGGAAGAGGAAGGTAAGAGCGGGGGGTGGGGCTGGGGAAATATTGGTTTGTTTGTTTTATGTATTTTCTTATCCATTCATTCATTCATTTGACTTCTGTACCACAGCTGCCAAGGCCACTCTGGGCACTTCACAACACTGAGGGTAAAAAAAAAATAACATTTTAAATCACTGGTTCTTAACCTTGGGTTACTCAGGAGTTTTGGACTGCAACTCCCAGAAGCCTTCACCACCAGCTGTCCTGACTGGGGTTTCTGGGAGTTGCAGTTCAAAAGCATCCGAGTAACAAAGGTTAAGAACCACTGTTTTAAATCACGGGATGTAATGGTTATACAGAAATCGAAAAATGACACATAAGGGTTTGGGCTTTCCACACCTCAAAACACTCGGTGGCCGAAATCCTGTTGCGAAATCTCAGTCAATTGCAACTCACAATAGGTGCGCTGAATCAACAGGGCTTACAGAGAGGTTGATTCGATGGGCCTGCTCAGATTGTGACTTACTGTATGAAGCAAAGGGATTTCAGCCCCCAAGTGCTTTCGATGGGATGTCAGAGGGGTTTCGGCCACTGGCTCCATCTCTTTTCAGAGGATGCTGTTGCTCTGTGCAACAGCCACCACAGTTTGGAGTACCTGGAAACTCGCAACAACCTTGTGATGCAGACTGAGAAAGGGGGGGGGAACACGTAGCTGGCCCCAGGTGGCCCTGACCCTCTCAGGTGGTAGCTGGACGCCCTGGCCAGTTTGTCACCCTGTCGTTTTGTACCTCGAGGTCTTCCTGGGCCCTTGCAAATTTTTGTGCATGGCACTGACAGCTCGCTGTCCCAAGGCACTTGCCGTCTGAATTCGGAAAAGATTTCACCCAGCCCTCTGTAGCCTAGCTGCCGTGTACCTTCTCTCTTTTAAACATGTCTGAGTTCACCTTGATGGGAAATAATCATCCTGTACTTCTGTGACATCCAGGAGGTTCCAAAATGACTGCTCACGTAGTGGCCTTTTAGCACCCCTTTCATCAGACTCTTGATTTCTGCTCCCCAGGAGATAGGGGCGGAGAGACCGGGGGCCCTGATGCTGTGTCTTCTCCCTTTGCAGAACTCCACCAAGGTGATGTTCAAGTGCTTGTGGAAGAACTGTGGGAAAGTGCTGAGCAGTTCCTCCGGGATGCAGAAGCATATCCGGACCATCCATCTCGGGTAGGTGGGCCCTCGGGGTCATGCACGGTGCGGTGCGTTTAGGGGGGAAGGCATGGGAGGAGTTGCCGTTTCTGACTCCCACTGCGTGCCAAGTCTGCTTGCAACTGGAAGGAGTGTTTTGAAGGGTGGAGAAGGTGGTTTGGCCGTCGTACCTGTGGAGATACGTTCAGTCATGGATGATCTGAAGAGCAACTGGAGAACCATTTCCGAGGCTTGTCTGAAAGGTGGGAGCAAAGAGGGAGTGGACATACGGACTGAGATGGCGTTTCAATGCTCTGTCGGCCAAGAACAGACCAATGGACAGCTTCAAGCGGGAAAGGTCATTTTGTTTTTCAGTCTACGTTTATGGACTTTGGCCATGGGAGGTCTTAGATTCCTGCTGTCTACCGACAGATCTTGAGCAGCCCTCGCTTGTAGAGTTTAACTGTTTACATCCATCCATAGATCCCTACGGTGTGTTGTATGTTGGGTCCAGAGCTTGGAAGCGTTTTTTTTCAACCACTACCTTTCAGAATCCCACAACCAGCATGGCCAGTGGTTGGAAGATTATGGAATTAGTATTTTTGTAAAACTAACTTTTGGAAACTGGTTGGGATCAGATCTGGTGAAAGACTAGTTAATTGAATTTGCTGAATTACTGATTGAGACAGGATGGTAATTAGTGTCTTAAGCCCTGCTCACAGATCTTTCGGTCTTTTTTCTGAATCTTTTAAATTACAGTGGTGCCCCGCTTGACGACGATAATCAGTTCCAGCAAAATTGCTGTAGAACGAAATTGTCGTCAAGCGGGGGAAAACCATTGAAATGCATTAAAAACCAGTTAATGCGTTTCAATGGGCGAAATATCTCATCGTCCAGCAAAGATCCTCCATAGGGCAGCCATTTTCCAGTGCCTGTAAAGCGAAAGAGCAGTCCTGAAAACAGCGGGGAGCTATTTTGCACAGCGGGCGGCCATTTTGGAACCCGACGATCAGCTGTTTTTAGATTGTCGTAAAGCGAAAAATCGGTTCCCGAAGCAGGGAACCGATCATCGTCAAGCAGTTTTTTCCTATTTAAACATCATTTTGCGATCGCAAAAGCAATCGCAAAAACATTGTCGTGAAGCGGATTCATCATGGAGCAGGGTGATCGTTAAGCAGGCACCGCTGTACTCTGGTAGACTTTTTACTGCAGCCATGACTCTTCATTTTGGGTTGGTTGTATTTTTGCTTGCAAGGTGAATTATATTTGAAATGTGGGAATGAGATTGAAGGGTGCTCTAAAGACGTTTACGGTAAATACAGTAATCCAGAAATACATTGGAGAGCCACTAAATAAATTGATAATTGACAGGCAGTAAGATGCTGGAAGGAGCGACGTGGTGGCGCTGCGGGTTAAACGGCAGAAGCCTCTGTGTTCCAAGATCAGAGGACCCGCTGTTGTAAGATCGAATCCACGTGATGGAGGGAGCTCCCCTTGCTTGTCCCAGCTCCTGCCAACCTAGCTGTCTGAAAGCATGTAAAAATACGAGTAGATAAATAGGTACCACCTTGGTGAGAAGGTCACAGCGTTCCGTGTCTAGTCGAGCTGGCCACGTGACCACGGAAACTGTCTTTGGACAAATGCTGGCTCTACGGCTTGGAGACGGGGATGAGCACCGCCCCGTAGAGTCGGACACGATTGGACTAAATGTCAAAGGGAACCTTTACCTTTAAGGGGCTGGAAAAGTCCATTGCTTTACTAAGGAAGCTCCCTAACTGAAGGTAAGCGGCATCCATAGCATCTCCATTTAAAAGGAACCAAGGGCGTGGTAAGATAAGAGGACGCACACTGCCTCCGACCAAAGGCCTGTCCGGCCCAGAATAGACACTTGTAGGAAGCTCACTGGAAGGACAGGAGTTACACCTGCAACCTCCATCTCATGTTCTTCGGGAACTGATTTACAAAGTCCCAATACGTGCAAAACTAGAGGTGGTACACACTAGCACCGATGGCTCCGTGAATTTGCCCAGCCTGCTTTTAAATGAGCAAATCTGTCGTCATCCATAGAGCGATGACTTGATTTTTCTTCCTTTAGCTTCTCCCCGCAAGCCCCTCAACCTGGGCCGGCCACTTGTTATAACTTTGGTCCTCCTGGGGTTGGGTGGGGTTGTGTTTTATTTTTTTTTGGCACCCTTTTGTAGCTACTGGTACCCTTGCTTTGTTTCTCATAGACGGAAGGCTGACCTGGATCAGAGCGACGGGGAAGAGGATTTCTACTACACGGAGCTGGACGTCAACGTGGACTCCCTGACCGACGGTCTTTCGAGCCTGACCCCTGTCTCCCCCACCTCCTCTGCCCCCCCGGCCTTCCCCACCCTGGAGGAAGTCCTGCCTACGCCGCCCATTCCCTTCAAGACGGAGGTTCCCATGGTGTCACACCTGAGCCCGTCGGCACCGGTGACCGTCCTGAGCCAGTCAGCACCCACCAGTCTGTGCCATATCCAAACTGACCATGCGTACCAGGTGAGGTCCCAGATCTGGCACGTGCCGAGGCCAAGCACAGTAATGCTCATCGAGTGAGGTTTGCAGTCAACGAGTTACAAATAACCACAGTTACTTTCCGAGTGAACCCGGGGCCATGTTTATTGTGACGTAACACAGCGCGGGTACAAACCACATTGTGTTTCTCGTTGTGACTTGTTTGCCCATCGGCAAGGGTGCTCCCGACATTTGGCTTAAATCTACAGACAGAGATGGGAAACCTAGTAGAAAAACATTAGCAAGTCCATTAACTTTTAGTGAACTCTTTCTGGGGCAGAAGAAGCTCACCATGTCTTGATTTTATTGAATTGCTAAGTTTTCTACTAACTTTCCCTTTGTGTTCTCGAAGGCTTTCGCGGTGGGGATCTGATGGTTGTTGTAGGTTTTCGGTCATTAAAAAACACAGCTTGCAAAAGTTCAACGAACTCTGCCCAGCCACAAGGACTGGTGATCACTGCACACACAAGACCAGCTAACAACACCCCTCAATCACAGTGACAGATCATCTCTCCTCCTTATCACAACAGTACACCCACAACCAAAAACATGCTGATCACCATAATCACCCAATCTCCTGAAAAGGACAAGCTGATCCCACAGCTATAAATACTCAACTATCCCACAAACTGCACCAGAGCACAGGCAGAGTTCTGACTCCTGTCCTCTGAAGATGCTGGCCACAGAGACCGGCAAAATGTTGGGAAGAAAAACCTCCAGAACACAACCAGACAGCCCGAAAAACCTACAAGAACCAACTTTCCCCTTTCTTTACACAGGAATGCAGTGATAGTACTACTATGACGCTGAGCCAGCTGGTAACAATACGATGCCCTGCTAGAGTGGATGGTAGAACTAATTGCATTTTGAAAGCAAAAGAAAGAAAGAAAGAAAGAAAGAAAAGCACTTTTTCTTTTTAAAAAAGACAGTCTTTGTAACATCTTGTGCTCTATGCTTTGTTTTTAATTTACAGGCTATGGGTCCTTCTGGTGTGCTGACAGATCTCAATGTGCCGTCCACTGGAATGGAAATCATCTCATGGCAGCAGCCCCCGCCGCCAACCTTTTTCCCACCTCCTTTGCCCCCGGTCCTTTTTAAAAGCCCCTCGGTAAGTAACAATGAGACTTTTCCTTTTTCTACCCTCTCCTTGATCAGAGTGGAGCTGCTGCTGATTATTGAGGGCCACTGGGGTAGTCGCTGTATGTGGGATTTTCCATTAGAGCCCCCACACCCGCCCTCTGCGGAGGGTTGCAAAAATAATTGGAGCTGCCTTGATCCATAGCCGTAAAACCTCCTAGCAGTGTTCTTCTTGGGCGGCACCAGGTCTTTTGTAAAACTAACGGGTCTTAATGTTGTGTTCAAGGGCAAGTGAAATACTTCTGATTACAACAGCAGTAAGCTTAGAGCAGTCTGCTGTTCCTGGAAAGAGGACTTCCAAACCCCACTTTGACTAGGATAAGCCTGGAGGAGGTAGCGAAAGAAGCTTGAAGGAGCTGGTAGATGCTCTATCCCTAGTTCTAACATCATCGCTGCTCCTACTGAAACCATGAGGTTGCAAAACTGTTCCTCTGGTACAGTGGAGACCTGAAGGGTTCTCCCTACATGATGTCCTTCTTCCACCTCCCTAGGGTTGCCTGACTCCCATCCGGCCTGCTAATCTCGGAGAGAAGCGTCCCCAGGCCCCCCCTGCTCCTGTTGCCAAAGGGCATCCATTAGTGCCCTCTTCTGTGCCAAAGCCTACAGCAGGCACCAGGTATGTTGTCCAGTAACCGCCTCCACCATCTGACGTCTTCACCAGGTTCCATGTGTGTGAAACGAGATTTGCATTTCCCCTGCAGGCCTGATAAACGTCTCCAGCCTCTGCGAGGCTTGACTAGAATGCTTAATGGTACCTGGAGAAAGCTGACAACCAAAGAGGCATTTAAGAAAGATGGTTTTCCTCCGAGACAGCGGCCAAAATCATTATTCCAAAATTAATTTTAAAAACACATGCAGATGCAGGTCGTGGTGCAAGTGCTTTTCCCGGCTTGCCAGCCGTTGCAGATTTCAAAAATTGGAAATGCCTCTCAAAATAGGATAGATGCAATATCATCATAAATAATACCTGTGTGCAGTCAAGCTGATTCTGACTTACGGCAACCCTTCTCCAGGGAGAGAGTCCTCGGAAGGGGTTTCCCCATTCCATTCTTCTGCGGAGCTCCCTGGGATGGTGCAGCTGGTCCAAGGCCACCCAGGCTGGCTCTGTTGAAAGGAGGCAACCGTGGGGGGAATTGGACTCCCTACCTTTGGCTCCAAAGCCAGAGATGCCTAACTCCCCAAGCTATCCAGCCAGCTTTCCTGAATTTCCAAGCAAGTGACCAGCTTGCGGCCACTCTCTCTTGGGTGGCGAAGAAGCCCTTCTCCCGGGGCTGACGGTTTGCTCTGCCTCTTTCCCCAGGAAGCCGCGCGGCGAGGCCAAGAAGTGCCGCAAGGTGTACGGGATGGAGAACCGGAGCATGTGGTGCACCGCCTGCCGCTGGAAGAAAGCCTGCCAGCGGTTCGTCGACTGAGTGGGCGCCGCTTGGAGCTGCCGCTCCCGGGATGGCAAGCTGCCCCTCTCGAGCCTCCTTGCGCGTTTTTTGCACTTCTGTGCCTTCCGCAGCCCGGTCTCCCCGGCCGGCCGGCCTTTGCCCGGCAGCTTCCTCCGCCACCCCCCCACGCCCTATAAGTGCCTTGGCTCAGGAAGAAAGGAGGGACCGGTGTGGACGACTATGGTGGTGGCGGCCGCTCGGCGAGGGTG